CACCTGAAGAGTGTCATGCAAGGCACAAGTTTTGCGGACATGGTGGCAATCCAAAAATGTGTGACAGTGGTTCTGTGTTCGATTCCTAAGGAGGCCTTAGGAGTTTCCAGAAGCTTTATGAAATTTGCCAAAAGTGTTTTATGCAGGATGCTGATTATTTTGCAGGCCGATAAAGGTAATATGTTTGTATCTTCTGTTTTGTTTGTTTTCTGATGCCATTTACCAAACCTTTTAGAAACACCTGATATGTTATAATATCATAATATGATATTGACTAGGGGAATGGGGTTTTGGATTATTACAATTTTGAACCCTATAGGAAAAAGGAATCATGAAATAAATCTTCTGCAAGGGATGTAAACTAAAACACTATCAACCTTCACTTTTCATCCAGCTTGCAGAAGTTTTCACTGAGCAGATGGTTCTAATTAGCAATTTTGCATATCAGTCCGGAAGCTTTGGTGGTGTTACTGCTGGTAAATATACATTACATTTAGCATCACCTTCTGTAAATACTGGATATGACTGGTGCTATCCCTAAGTTTTGTCTGCTCAAAAAAAAAGGTATGCTTTTTGGTGCCATAATCATCTTTCCTACTGCTGCTGAATTTGTGTGAATTACTTTCTAACAATATCCATCAAATATCCATTTACTGTATACAGTAAGAAAGCAGTATAATCATACAGGTCTCACTGAGTCCCAAGCCATGTCCTACTGGAGCCATGGTTTTCATACACTGCACTGATGATGGTGTGATGATTACATGAAAAAACTGAATGTATATTACTACTTTATTAAGCTATATTTGCACCATACACCAGTGGCTCTGGATATCCATTGGGTGTTCAGGTTTAAAGGAATGGCTTGTATGTCCTGAAATGATAAATAATCCTTATTTTTGGGATATGTGATGGGATAAGATATGTGATTACACTGCAGGCTGTCACAGTATTTTGCACAGCAATTTGTCTGAATCCCATGTACAGTACCATAGATTACCTGTTGTCATTAGATCTGTTACTCTTTCACTTCCTTTAAGGCTTCATGTACACGAGCAGGTCCTAAACTCGAGTTTAGGAGCTTTCGGCATTTTTTTGCCAAAGTTCCTAAACTCAATTCCATAAAAGCCTATGTGGCCATGTACACATAGGCTTTTAGCAGAGTTTAGGAGCTGCCGGGTTTAGGTGAGGTTAAACCTCCCTCTTTCTTTCATGTTCAGGATAGGAACGTTTTAACCGCCGGCCACGGGAAACCGCAAAACATGGTAACCGCAGTACTGCGTTTTTGCAGCGATATGCGTTTTCCCGTGGCCGGTGGTCAAGGTAGGCTCCTGTACATGAAGCCTTAGAAGGGATTTACTGTAGCTTTAAACTGACTTTAAGGATATGCAGGTGCCTTGGAGTGTGTGCACTTTTTTGCAAGTTCCTGCACATTGCGTTTAGGGCAGTCCATTAACTAAAGAAGGTTTACTGTGCTACACACTGCACACTGTAAGAGGGTGAACTGGAAGTTTATCTCCTTCCTTTATATAATATACAGTACAGTATGTATTAAAGTAATTCTTTCATCAAGGGGAATGCTGTTAGGTATAAAGTGCAAAAAACGTGATGTTACTAAACCTACTTTCTGCAGCCCCCAGCTCACCCCATTACACTAAATTCCAAGTCATTCTCACAGGTAAATATAGGAGACTTTCTTAAAGTGTCTAAGCTTGCTTGTACCCCCCTTCCTGCTTTTCCTATTGGTAAATAAAGCAGCCTGTCATAGTGATGGGTCAGTAGGACAATCTTAAAGAGTGGGTAGCAGGAGAATATGGCAAGCTTACACACTACTGGGAAGTTTTAGAGCTTTTCCTATCAGGACCAATTGTTCAGACAAAAACCCTATAGATAGAGCTGCTTTAATACAACTAAAGTGATTTCTGCATTATTCACAGTCTAGCAGATTGTACCGAAATCTAAGTAATGTGTTACTCTATACAAAGGTGTTAATTATAGTCTCCTTGTAACTGTAGCTTGCCTTGACAGTTGCAGTTATGTTCCTATGGCTTATCCTTCGTAAAAAAAAAATCTTCAATACAGCTTCCTATATGTATATGGAGATTGTTTCATTGGGTTGGAAAAGGTGACATACAGTGGCACCTATTAAACAGCTGAAATCATTAGATAATGAATAATGGAACTTTTGTAAGACATCTAAAGGGCAGCCACACAGTTGGTCTTGTTAGGAAATAAAAGAAAAGAGCAGCGGGGTCTAAACTATACAGCTGGCCCCTGTGGGAGGCTTCAGATGATTTAGCAGACTGTTTAAACATTTAACTAATGTGCATATGTCTTCATTGCTATATGTGTGCATTTCAGTGTTTAGAAAAATCTGTTTGAAAGGGAAACAGAGGAAGTAACCGCAACCCATGAGGCTGTGGTCAAAGAGCACATTTCTTAAGCAGGGGCTCATTAGAAACCATGTGTAATAAACTTAAACAAAAATGCTGTATTGTAAAATTAGGCAGTTGTGTCAGGAAACATTGTGAAAGAGAAAACAAATGCCAAAATACTTTAGTTCAGCTATGAAATTGCACTAACCTACATGATGCTACTTAAGACTTCTCATATTTTAGTATATATGACCATTGCAGCCTATTTATTTTCCTATCTATTTATCTGCTTATTATAGGCTTTACAAATCTTTTGATAATTTAATGTACAGTTTACTGTATTTATTTAATTTAGGAACAGTACATAGAACAATGAATTACACATACACGTTAATGTGTTTGTATATTGAAAAATAGGACATATGTCACAATGGACAGCTCACAGCTGATTCTTTTAAATTTTGGTAAATGTTACTATTCAGCTATTTTTTTTACCAATAATATGATTTATTGGACAAAATAGCAAAAAGCCCCAACATTATATTGAAGGAAATATTTTCTTAGAAATTACTAAGGCTGCCATTGCTAAACTCTGTTTAAAAAAAAACCAAGAACAACCTCCTATTCCTGGACTACAATTAAAACTCAAACCCTCATACCTTCTCTTTTACTTTGGAGGGTTTTACACACAGTGCTGGTGGCTATGGCAGTGTGTGTAAATCTGACAAGCTGACTGTCAGATGGAAGCTCTTCCCATACACCTCTGCTATATTTCTCTGGCTTTGCACGCCCATTGGCAGATCCAGGACCAGCATGCTTGGTGCCATCATGTAAAGGGAAAGGTGATCATTGAATACTTGTTGAATGTTACTTCCGGGTCCTGGTGTAATGGACTTAGGAAGAAACTAATGGACTGTGATCTGAACTCCGTTAGTTTCATTGGAGGACAGGTGAGACATCAGGGGTTTAAAATACCCCGGATATGTAATTAGGGAAAACCTGCCACCAAAAAAATGCGCTACATAGGAGACTTTTTGTCCCCTATGTGATGGGGAAAAAAAATTTGTAAAAAAAAATGTATAAAAAGTTACACCCAAACACTTAATATCCAGCCAAAAAGTTTTTTACACACAAATGTAAATGCAGTGCCAAGAATGTCCATGCATGAAAACATTGATTGCCCTGCACTACCTAAGGAAAATATAGAGTACTGAAATGTATTGCCGTTTCGCTGGCACGCCCAATTTTGAAGTCTGACATGTTTAAATATCTATTAAATATGGTAATCTATTATGTTTGTGTGCCCTAAAGTTAACTTTTGGGCACACAAACACTTTAGTGTATTCATTACCAAAAGTTTGCGTTTCATAAACCATTGTGCAAATATTGTGTGACATAAAAAAATGTAACTACTACTATTTTATTCTCTAGGGTGTGTCTGCTTTCAGAAGATATACATTTTTGGGGTTTTATGTAATATTTAGGTCTAAAACAATTTTTTAAACCTGCACAAAACATGCAAAGCAAATGGGCTAAACATTTGTAGCAATAATGACATTATACCCTTCTAAAATAATTAGCAACCCTGGCTCAAATAAACAAAAAATAAGGATACTGAATTTCCCAAATATGTTATATCAAATCAAAAGCTTTGGAAAAAAGATGAAACAGAATTTGAAAAAATGTACAATTGTTTATGATACACGTGCTTTAGCAAATTTCCCATGACCCAGTTAGGGTTTTTATCTACTCTACATTTAAAATTGTGTGTAATGCTTTCATATTTTATCAATAATACCTACTAATACAGACAGTTCCTGGGTTACAAAAAAGATTAGTTCAGTACAGTAGGTCTGTTCTTATGTTGAATACGTATATAAGTTGGAACAAGTACATTTTTTAAATGTAACTCCAGGCAAAAAATTATTTTTAAGTTTTGGATAGCATAGGGAAGGGTATACTGCCCTTGCAGTGATGTGGTATTGCTGACAGGTCCATCAGACAGTAGGTGGCAGCATGGGGTGAGCAGCAAGATGGCTGCCTGGTGGTTTCCAGGACCAGCATGGTGTCATGCTGCCTCCGGTCTTAAGTATGAGTCGGATGTAAGGCGGATGTTTGTAACTTGGGGACTGCCTGTATCATGGTTAGGTCTAGTACCACTACAACTAATTATTTTTTTATTTTTATTATTAACCATTGCCATTTTTATCATAGTGGTGTCTGCTACTGCATGTATACTAAATATTGTTTATGTTTGTTTATTGTAGGTGAGCAATTAAATATCACTGAACAAAGCTACATCTGTGAAATAAAAATGACAAAAGCCTTCGTAATTGCATGTTGAGTAACCAGCAAATCCATGATGGCATTAAATAAGAAAATTCCATTTTGTTCCATTAAGACATTTATTTTGCTTTTAATTTACTTCATTGTTTCTTGCAGTGCTCTTATTGTATATCTAGTTTACTGGCAAGCTCATTCAAATTATCCAACAGAAACAGTGGATAAGAAAGATCTTTTTTCAGACTATCATGAAATGACTGAAACAACTCCATTTGAATGGATTAGAAAGACTCTTCATAGCATTCCTAGCACTATGTCACCACCTCCTGAAGGATATATATAAACATCAACTTCTATCCATATATTATTAATGAACCAAACAAATGTAAGGCCATAAGTCCATTCTTAGTCCTGATAATTGCAACAAATGCAGTAGACATTGAAAAACGAGACGCCATAAGACAATCATGGGGAAATGAGTCCCTGGGGGCTGGCATTCCTATTGTCCGTCTGTTCATGCTGGGCATTGATAGCACGGTGAACCACAATGTAATTTTCCAGGAAAGTGAGAGATATCATGATATCATCCAGAAAAATTTCCAGGATACCTATAAAAACTTGACTATTAAAACCATGATGGGCATTGATTGGGTCTCCATCTATTGCGCAGGAGCAAAATATGTAATGAAGACAGACAGCGATATGTTTGTCAACACTGAACATCTCCTGGACTTCTTACAACCAAATGAACCTGTAAAGCAAAACTATTTTACTGGTTCTTTGCTTCAGAATCATCAGCCACACAGAAATAAGAATAGCAAATGGCACATGCCACATTCCCTCTACCCTCATGACATCTACCCCAGCTTTTGCTCTGGAACAGGCTATGTATTTTCTGGGGATGTTGCACCAAAGATTTTAAGGGCCTCTTTTAATGTGAAATATGTTTACCTTGAAGATGTTTTTGTAGGAATCTGTCTTGACAAAGAACACATACAAATAACTCCACCTCTGGATAGATTTCTGTTCAATAATTATAGAGTTCAATTTAATCCTTGTGCCTATAATAGGCTTATTACTTCTCATGAAATAAGTCCAAAGGAAGTTATTGTTTTCTGGAGACTTGTACAAGAACATAAAAAGATTTGTAAAAAACAATGGGTAATTCAATCCAGGTAATAATGTCCTTCAGTGTAAATCATTTGTACCATTAAGTTGATAATGTGATAATGATTATGCTAGGCACTGCATCAGTGCTGCATGATAAAGATAAGAAAAATGTGCAGATGTATTATATATAGCTTCCTTTTCATTTTCATTTTAGATTTTAATGAATTAAACTGCATAACCACTTGCCCTTTGGAATATTTACCCTCCTTCCTGACCTGGCCTTTTTGCTATTTTGCACCGTGCTATTTCAACTGGTAATTGCGCAGTCATGCAACACTGTACTCTAATGAAATTTGTGTGCTTTTTTCACACAAATAGATCTTTCTTTTGGTGGAATTCGATCACCACTGGGATTTTTATAATTTGTGATATAAATGAAAAATCAACATGAATTTAGAAAAAAAACAACATTTTCTACTTTTTGCTATAGAAAATATCCAAAAAAACTCAAATATAGTCATAAATGTAGGCCAACATTTATTCTGTTACATGTGTACTTTGTTTTGTAAAACAAATCCCAATATGTATATATTTATTGGTTTGTGTGAAGGTCATAGTGTCTACAAAATATGGTATATAATGTATACATTGGACTTTACAAAGTTTGTACTTTCTCAGGGTCAATCACATTTTTTGAGATTCTAAGCCAGGGTCAGGGCAGTACAAAAAAAACCCCAAATGACCCCTTTTTGGAAAGTAGACACCCCCAAGGAATTTTTGGAAAATAATAAATCAATTTTATTGTATTTGTATTGTGTTTTTTACACAAAGTTGTCATTTAAATGATATATTGCTCACACATGCAGTTGGTATATGTGGAATAGCACCCCAAAACACATTCTTCTACTTCTCCCGAGTATGGGGATACCACATGTGAGAAACTTATTGGCAGCCTAGTCACATGCAGGAGCCTAAATCCAACGACCACCTTCAGGCTTCGAAAGGGCATATTTACTCATGTCACTTCCTCACTACCTATCACAGTTTCAGAGACCCTAAAATGCCAGGATAGTACAAACACCCCCCAAATGACCACTTTTTGGAAAGTAGACACCCCAAGGAATTTAATAAGAGCCATGGTAAGTATTTTTCAGATATAATTTTTTGTCACAGGGTTTTGAAAAAGAACATAAACAAAAAAAGTACATTTTCGTTTTCCAAAAACTTGTGGCAACAAATTAGATCTCAAAAATACTCACCAAGCACATTAGCAAATACCTCGGAGTGTCTACTTTCCAAAAAGGGGTCATTTGGGGGGGAGGGTGCTTCTACTATCCTGGAATTTTATGCCCAACTTTAGAAGCTTATGCCACACATCACCCACTCTTATAATCACCTTGAGACTGAGCCTTTTCTAACACGTTTTATTTACATAAGAAAAGCTGTTTTTTTTTTGTTAGAAAATTACTTTGAACCCACAAACATTATAGATTTTTTTAAAGCAGAGGCCCTGGAGAATGAAACGGTGGGTGTTGCAATTTTTTTATGTCACACAGTGATTTTTCAAACGCACATTTTTTGTAAATAATACACTTTTTGAATTTTAATGCACAAAAACACAATATATTGTCCACTTGTTTGATAAAATATAAAAAAGGATGTTATAGCAAGTAAATAAATACTAAACATGACATGCTTTAAAGTTGTGCATTTCCGTGCAATAGCGACAAACTAAGTAAAGCTATAAAATCCACAGGCGATGCTTTAAAAGCCTTTACAGGTTATCACTTTAGATTTACACAGGAGGTCTAGTGCTATAATTACTGCCTTTGATCTGACGTTAGTGGTGATACCTCACATGCATGGCAAAATTTTGTTTACATACCGACACTGGACCGACGCTTGCGTTCACCTTTGCACGTGATTGGGAAGGGAAGGTGGGGGTGATTTTTTTTACACTGTCTCTTTAATTTCTTGTAATTACTTTTATTGTTATCACAGGGAATGTAAATATATCCTGTGATAACAATAGGCAGTGACAGGTACTGGAAAATCTGGGGGTTTTTAGACTATAGATCTCTCCTCTGCCCTTAAATCATCTGATCACACTAAGATTGCTTTTACATGAAAGCCATGTTGGGCATATACACTCACTGGCCACTTTATTAGGTATACCTGTTCAATTAATTGATAACACAAATTGCTAATCAGCCAATTACATGGCAGCAACTCAATGCATTTAGGCATGCTGAAATGGTGAAGACAACTTTAAACCAAGCATCATAATGGGGAAGAAAGGGGATTTAAGTGACTTTGAACGTGGCATGGTTGTTGGTGCCAGACAGGCTGGTCTGAGTATTTCAGAAACTGCTTATCTACTGGGATTTTTACACACAACCATCTCTAGGGTTTACAAAGAATGGTTCAAAAAGAGAAATTATCAAGTAAGTGGCAGTTGTGTGGACAAAAATGTCTTGTTGATGTCAGAGATCAGAGGAGAATGCTCAGACTGGTTGCTGCGACATTGAAATGGTAGGGTTAGAATTTGGTGTAAACAACATGAAAGCATGGAGCCCATCCTATATCAACTGTTCAGGCTGGTGGTGGTGGTGTAATGATGTGGGGATATTTTCTTGGCACTAGCAAGGTGTACCTAATAAAGTGGCCGGTAAGTGTATATAACATCAGAGAACATGGGCATATGATGAATTGGGTCTGTGGACTAATATGACCACAATTCATTCTTTTTTGTAATGCCCATATTGAGGGTTAGACCTCAAAGTTTTAAATTCAGAAACTGTGATAGGTTTTCATGCAAATTTTCTGCCAAGAGATAAATCTGGGTGGGCGGTGATGTACTGTTATGTGTGTATAAATTGCTTTGGCCCATAATCCATTCATATAAATCTTCCATGAAAAACAGCAGAGGGTCCAAATGCTAGTGCTGACAGTGAACAGGACTGATCCTGCTAATACTGCATTTATGGTGACACTATACCAAAAAAGCACTAGTATAGCTCTGTTCGTGATCAATATATTGATTTGTACAAACAGTATACCAGTAATGGCGGTGATCAGCAACCTGTAGCAGCACTGCGATAGTGTGCAGACAATCAAATGCTAGCTGACCCTGGCTGCAAGGGGTACTTACAGACCCTGAAGTTACCTGATGTTGCTAATGGCAGAAATACAGTGATCAGTGAATAGTTCTATATACTGACACTGTATTAAAGGCACTGGCTGGGTGATGGGGTCATGAAAAGGTTAATAGGGACAAACAAGGGTTAAATGTGCTAATCTAATGTGTGGGTGTGTAAAATGTAGGGCTTTTACACAATGTGGTGTTCTCTCTTTTCTCCCTGGATGGCATAGGGATCAGCAAGGGGTGCACGCATGCGCAGGCACACCCAGATATCAAAAGCAACATAAGGGTACGTCACTTTGCCCAGAACTATAGCTTGCCCACACATTGTAGGCGGGCAGTTGGCAAGTAGTTTAAAAAAACCTTTAAAAATTGTTTTTAAATGTTCTCAGTATTTTATTTTATTTTTATATATTTGTTAATATTAATTTTCTTTTTTTTAACTATTAAAAAAATGCTTTCATCAAAGTAGTGCCATGTTACCACTGTAACATGGTATTACTCCGGGGGGGGGGGGGGGGGGGGGGGGGGGGGGGGGAGTGTCAGGATTTTGTTTTACACTTTGCATTGCCGGATAAAGATTATTGCTCTGCAAAGCAATGCTTGCTTTGAACTGTCATGAATGGGTTAATGACAGTTCAAAATACAGTGATTTGTGATTGACTCCAGCTGGTCAAATGGTACAGGGATCTATGATTGGCCCATGTACCATGTGAGAGCCGTGGGCCAACCACAGCCCACCAGGAACAGTAGCAAAGCTGTTATGATTCATAATAGCTTTGCTAGCATTGTGATCATGTGATTACATAGCGATCACATGATCAGTGGGTCACGATTACTGGACACAGCAGTGTTGGGGGGGGGGGGGGGGGGGTAGGTTCTGTGCACCTCTATGTTAGTACAGGCAGAGGGACATACCAGTACATCGCTTTGCCTGTAGCTGCCGCCTGTCTGCAGTAAAAGTACTGTATGTATAATATAGCTGTCAGTGTTAACACCACAGATGGAACAAGCATGGGCTCAGACAGATGCTTTTAGCATTAAAGTCTAAATTTATTTAAAAGAAAAAGATCAGTACACAGGGCATTATTTACAGTAAATATGATGTGTCCCTTGCTTCTGCTGCAGTCTTTCTCATTTCACCCCACCCCCACTGCTGTAATTTTCCAATGGAGCTGAGGGACCTGTAATACACACTCTTCAAGAGTGCAGACTATTTCTGTCCTGTTCAGCCCCCCCCCCCCCTCCTCAATTAATAGAAGATGTTCTATACCTAATATGAATGAAATAAAATCTATGAATGGAGGAGGTGAACCTTTCATATATCTGTCTGTACTTCATTCATAGATAATTTTTCATTTATAAAAGCTATAGTAAAGCTTCTATGAATGGAGGAGAGGGGCTGAAAGTGTCGGCATAGTTGGCACACTTGATGACTGCATATGACAGGTTCCTCACCACACTGGAAGATTATGGCAGTGGGAATAGGAGGGGAAATCAGAGGAGGAGGATTTCAATTAAAGCAGGAGCCAGCATCACAAGGGACACATCACAAAGACTGTAAGTACTGTCCTGTGTGCTATTTAAAAAAAATAAACTTAGGCTTTAAATTAGAACACCAATACAATAATGTGACAGCCATCTATTGTTCTAACACACTCACATCTACAAGGGCTGAATAATAACACCCTATGAGTGTATACCCAGCTTAACACTTTTGTTTTAATTATACATTGATCTCGCTGACTGCTATGTTAACAGTTCTATGAGTGTCTCTACTGCTGGAGATATACTGGCCACAGATATTTGTCTGTCCTCTGTAGCTCTAGGACTCGCCTCTGTTTCTCATGCAGCCTGTACAACACACATGGGTATACATGTAATAGAACCTGGATTGTAAAGAATGGGATGGAAGGAAATTGATGAA